CACACCTTTTACCGGCTACAAAAGAAGTTGCATCTAACTAATGGGTAATTAGGAAAGGACTAGAAGGATGGGGGACTACTTTGGAGAAGAAATGAGGAACCAGAAGGACGATCTGGAAAGCATCAGCAGTGAAAGGAGACCCAAAAAACAGATGAGGATCAGACACGAGCCCCAAAAAAAGATAAGCAAGCTGGAGGAGGATCAAATTCAGAAGAAAAAGGGTCTAGGTGAAGCTACTACTGCTGCTTCAGGAGAACTCTGTGGACTTTCCAGGCTACAGGCACTTGCCAGAGTATAAATGCCAAACATCAAGGATAAACATCAAGGATAACCACTTCCAAAAAGAGAGGGGAAAAAAAAAAAAAAAAAAAAAAAAAAAAAAAAAAAAAAAAAAAAAAAATCAGAGAAAGGGAAATAAGGCTGGTGACAGTAAATTCTCCTCGACACCTTCAGTCCTTGGGGATGAAACAAATCCCCTAAGGAAGCTGTGGAAGTCCCAAGGTCTTTTTAGGAAACTGAAAGCTGCATACGTAGGAACCAGATGACCAGTGAGTTTTCCCACTTCAGTTCCATGGAAGTTAATGCACAAAGACTTTTGCACAAAGATTACCGCTCTTTTACTAGGGAGTGGGTATGGCGCAACATAAACCACTGATCCCACCCATATCTCATCAAATGTCACCGAAGTACAGCCTCTTGCACTTGAAAACCTACCCATACCATATACATTGATATTAAATATATACACACACACACAAGCCAATCCTGATTTGCTGTCTAAGTATCTCTAGAAGACTAACTTTGATGGCATTAAACAGAAGGTGGCAAGTTCCTTATGCACTTGCCTATTAAGGTTTGGCAATGGTGCACACACAGGATTGCACGGCGTGTAACCACCCAGCACCCCACCAGATGCACTGGGCATTCAAGCCCAGCCAAGAGATCTTCCAGCACTGGACTTCAGCCAGGACCAGTACTCTCCATTCAGAGGAGAGACTGGTGCTTCATACACTGGGAGATGACTAATCCCAGTAGCTGAGTTACAGCATAGCTTTTAACACATGATGAAGAGACGTTAAGGTCATCTCGACTCTCATCTACAGCATCCCACAGTATCCCCTCCCACAGCTGACTTGTTGCTCTTTTTTCCCCTCCTACTCCTTTTCTCGCTTTCTACCTTCCCCTTCAACCTTGTTTCCTTTCAGGTCTTCTCACCCCCTTCCATACCCATTTACCCTCCTCTCTCCATCCACTCCTCCGGCACCTCAAGCACCCTTCTTATCACCCACAACTCCTACCTCAGAAGTCCTTTTCTTCTAGGAATCCACTTTATTTGGATTTCTACCTCCAGCAATCACCCATGCCCTCCCTCCCCCAGCGCTCAAGTGCATATTTGTCTGCCTGGGATTGCAGACTCCTTAGGACAAGGACTGCCTTCTCCACTTGTAAAGCCCAGTGTATGTTTACGGGGTGGGTAAATGATAAATAAGCAGTCTCAGCATTTCAGGGTAGCTCAGTGTGGGCTCCCTCCACCGAGCTCCCTTGGTGTTTGCCTTCCCTCCACTGCAAACTAATCTACCCGTAAGACTTTTTCTTCCTTATCTCTCAGTTACAAGGTTATCACTTAAATTTATCAGCATTCTTCAAAAAATAGTTGAGAGAGGAAGGTAAGGAAACAAAGGGCCTTTACCAGTGCTGTTCACCCATAAGCTGAAACCCTGAGATGTAGAGGAGCTCGTGGGAGCACCGCGTGCACAAGCAAAGGGAGAACGTGGCCAGAAATAACTCACTGGGTTATTTCGAACCCCACATGCCTTGTTTCTATTCAGTTTTCAGTGGGTTTCTGGAGAAGCAGACACACACGGCTGTTTGCTGGGGGAGCATCTATCAAACCTACACTGACTTCCACCAGCCAAGTGTGTCTCTCCCTTTGGAAGGAGGCTGGAAAAGAGGGAAGTGGGCTGTTGAAATGGAAAGCTGGGGTAAGGAAAAAAAAAGTTACGAAGAAAAGATTACCCACAACACATAGGGCATCAAGAGGTGACTAAGAGGCAGCCCATGCTCCCAGGGAAAAAAACCAACAGTGAAGGCAAAAACCCCTGTCCATGTCAGGGCTGAGCCAATGCATTGAAGCGGCTGGCTGTTTGGCAACAACGCCCATGAGTGATGCGGGATTTGCATAGAGAGAGTAGCACTTCTCAGGAATCAATGTGACAAAATGCTCATTCAACCAAAAAAAATTTTAAAAGAAGAGGGCAAGTATACTTGTTAGACAGTTCACAGAGTTGATGCTATCAGCTGTTCCTTATGTCATGAGAACCTGAGTTGTCTGGGGTTTCCTAACGCCCAAAGTTGCTGCTCTCTGGCCCCCTGCACTCCTCCACCACGTGGACTTCACCCCCTGCCTCCCCCTACACACCAGCCCCTCGCCTACACGAGGGCATCGCCTCAGTCACTTTGAAACACCCACCTCCAGTGCTCTCCCAGCTTTCAGAAATTCTCCACTGGGAGCATGCTCAAAACACACGTCCTTCTCTGTCCCTACAGTCTTAACAGCCTCTACGAGATTATCTGATGTAGCTTTCTTACGCTCATACATCTCGGCAGAGAATTAGCTGATAACTAACAAAGCACTGCGGGTAGCGCGTGCGTCAGGAAGTATAAGCGATAACACTGTTATGCTATGAGAAACCTCATCCAGACCCTTAGGAAAAATTACAATTTTTGTCATTGGTTTCATCTGAACTCACCAGCTATCCTCAGACTACAGAGCAATGCCTTTAAGTAAATAATCTGGTGGGGAGGGGGGCATTCAAACCACCCTGTGATTAAAAGAGATGGTCACCGAGTTGGCAACAAGAAAAACACAATGAAAATTAAGAACAAAAGTTGAGGACAAAACAATCGCCTAGAAAACAACAGGAGATCACGTAAGAAAAATCAAACCAACAAGCACACCTTCCTTTGCGCTGAATGCACTTTTCTGCATAGCAGCATTTCACAAAAGAGAGATTGAAGAGCTGGTGGTTAACGCTGCCCCTGGAGACTTGCCCAGAAGTTTTTACATTGCTCAGCACCCTGTGCATAAAAGGGCAGCAGCGGCGACGCTCCTGGTGAACTCCCGCCGGCCAAGCTGTCTGGCAGGTATAGCTAAAAAAGCCATTTTTGGAAAATATTGCCTTTTTATAGCTTATCTCAGTGCAGACAGCTGCCTCGCGTCTCTAGAAATAGCAGGATTTAACAGCCATGTTTGCAGGGACAGATTTTAAAGGTTCCATCTTCTAAGAAACAACCTACACATCCAGAAACAGGAGGCCAGATTTGTTTTGATACTGGAACCCCCTTCCATATGCTAAGCGTGCCCACGGATTTGCAAAAACCCTGCTCTGAAAATGGGATGTTCATTCAGCAACAGGAGACAAGTTACTTGCGTTTGCCTTCCTATAGAGTCTGTTCCCAGTGCAATCAGTGGCAAAATAGCACATGATTAGGCTGATACTGCCTTTTGCTGAAAATCGCTGGCATTTTATAAGTAAAATAGTGGTGGAGGAGAGCACTAAACACTGGAAAAACAAGACTAATAAGTTAAGTAAAAATATCCCGCAGCTACAGCTGATCAGCACCTCTCCGTTGCTCCTCTTCGGATGGAGCGAGCCAGGATCAGATCCCAAACATTGTTATGATTCGTTTGAGGTGATGAAGACGGAGCTGTGGGCTGCGTTCCCAGATCAGTCCCATGGCTGCAAACCCCATGAACCTGGAGGAGCCCCTTCAGCCACCTCGCCTCCATCATGTTTGTGAGTGCAACAGGGATGTTACTTTCCTACCTTTTAGCAATAAGCTTTTTTAGATAAAAAATGCCAAATTCCCGTGAATTTAACACTGGAAGAGCTGATGCTAAGGATGTAAATGCTCTGAATGATGCTGAATGTAATGGGGCCTTGCAAAATTTCCATGGTACCACCTTTTACTAGCAACCGTTGGACCAGTTGTCTACAGCATCTTCCTCATTATGAGATTTTAATTTATTTATTTATTTTTAAACTGAATGAAGGGGTACTAAAGACAATGACCTGCTGTGAAATGACCGAAATTCCCATGCAAACAACCCATTAGCAGTGTTCAAATGCAATTTAAATTACTAGTTGTTAAAGTGCTCCTCAATTTCATGGTAAGTTTCCAAGGAAAATTACATGCTATGTACTATTTAATTGATTGTTTTCTACTTCTTAACATCCATTTATTCCCTCCTCCTGTCTTTTCCTTAATTTCAAGGGATGATAATGACTTTTCAGGGAGGAAAGGGTAACGGCTAACGGAGTTGAAGAGGGATTTACCTGAAGAACAAGAATGTAGGAGGGAAGTGGCTGCCAAAAATGGGCAGCTCCGCTGGAACTCGTCCTGTGATATTTTCACAGTAGGGGTGTGAGACAGCACAGCACAAGGACTTCATTCCTCCCCACCGCAGGCAGCCAGGCTTTCGAAACCTGATGTTTCTTTAAAACGTAGTCATCCCCCCCACGTCAAGCAATAAGCACAGTTAACTATTAGAAGACAGTGGTAAAGCAATAAGAGCAACTTGTTTCCTCCTCCCAGGCACGCGAATCCTTGAACCGACACGCTCACTGAAGGTAAACAAGTTTTTGTCATTTGCGAGATCTCATCCCAAATGCAAATACCCAGTTCACAGGAGCAAATCCCCCCCCCCCCAAAGTTGACTGAAGAATTGGGCTGCGAGTGAGACCTCCTGCTGCTTGCAACAGCTGTTACACAAGAATGTGTATTATAAAGCTAATAACAACAGACATTTCTTAAAAGCCTGCACTCCGCTCAGATCCTAGGAAGGAGCAGTGGTACAATTAGGTAAGGTGCCATCTGGAAATTCCTGAAGTAACGATATATGTTGGGATCATGTCACACACCAGCAACGTGTATCAACTTTATGAAATACTCAGTACGACTTGGTTTACCTTTAAGAAACTGATGCAGAAATATTTAGTGCTCAGAAAAGTATGACTTTATTAGAGTAAGAGGGATGAGTTTCACAGTACCACTCAGCACGAGGCTGCAAAGCGCCCACCTGTCTGCAGGAGCTGAGCATGAACTATCACGTGGAACCCAGAGATTTGCACTTCTCCCAAATTTGCCACACGGTGCCTCAGTTTCTACACCTGCACACCAGGATAAAACCGCCTTCCTCAGGCTGTGGGCACAATTTAGTGTTTAAGGGCTCTGAAAGCTTTGCCTACAGAAATGCAAAGTATCAGATGTGTAGAGCCATCTAGGCTTGTAATCTTGTCTGCCTTCATCCCTTCCATGCCCACGTGTGCTAGCCCCATGCTATCTGGGGCAGCTTACCTGCTGTGGGGCACGTACACCCAGCCCTTAGAGCACGCTAAATCCCCTCGCAGCACCCAAGTCACACAGTGACGGTGTCACCATTTCGCCACGTCCTGTGCAGTGCCAGCCCTGGATCAATCGGTGCAACAGCTGGGATGAAGGATGGGCTGCAAACCAATCCTCCTTACACGGGAGCTAAAGCAAATCCTCTGCGTTTAATAGATCATTATTAGAAGTGATTGAGAGAAGCTTAAGAAAGGCAGGCATGGAGATCTCTGAGCACGCTCGAGGTCCAGCGTCATGGAAGGTTTCTGGGAGTTGAGCGTTTACAGGGTGCCAGGCTGCAGGAGGAAAAATCTTTAGACAGCTGTATTAATTTACAGGTCACCCCTTAATGGCTCTGTTCCTGGAGCAGAAGAAAATCCGCTGTGAATCCTGGTTAGCATCAGTGATCACTGCATCTGCCCAGCTCCTGGAGAAATACCAGAGAGCCCTGGCAGCCTGCGGTCCCAGCCATAAGCATCCTCCATCCTCCAGAGCTCCCCCGGCCCTGCCCAGCACCCATCGGGGGGACACAGGCAGCACTTGGGGAGCTCATCCTTCACAGACCATCCAGCTCTCAAGTCACATCCTTGCAGTGATGAGATGTTGCCCAGAGAAGGATCGGCACGTGAAGATTAACAGCCCCAGTGTGCTTCCCCCAGCGTGTCAGAATAGCACTGCCCTGTGCTTCAGGTTACGGCACGCAGGCACTGCTCATCCTTGTCTTCCAACAAGCAGCCTGCCCTGGCAAGCGGGAAAGCGGGGGGGAAACTGCGAGGGGAACAGAACATCATCATTTCCAGTCCTGCCATGCTGTCCCCAAAACATCAAGCCTGGCCACAAGCAGCTGGCAAAGCCTGGATGCACCACATCGAAGTGCCACCAGAAGCAGGGGCTGATCCAGGGCACGACTGAGGCAGGGAAGCACTGCGTGGGGAGGAGGCATCGCCCGTCGCACAGGGCCACGCTTGCAAAGGCAAAGCACAGCACACGAGGAGCAACAAAGACCACCGGCTTGCTGCCCTCCACGGCTTTGCACCACCACGCACGACAGAGGATGGGTGGCTCCTTGGCGAGTTGATGGGCTGAGGCTTCACATGCTGCAACAGCTCCATACGCCTCCCCGGTGCCCTGTTTTCCAACCCATCACCTACACCGCCCATTCAGACTGTACACTCTTTAGGACATCAGTTCTTTTCTTTGCACCAGTACCAAGCCCAGCCCAGCGGGGCCCTGACCCCAAAAGCTGCAGTAATTCAAGTAGCTTGTTGCAACAACAAGGATTAAAATGCAGCGAAAATCTGCAAACTCCCGACACATCCCATCTGCAGGAATACACTCCACCAGTCCCTTCATCACCTTTTGTGGCTGAGTGCTTTTCAGCTCGCCTCCCATCCTCCTGCAAACTAAGCCAAGTATCTTTCCCTGCCCAGAACAATCAAGCCAGTTTCGCACCTCGAGGACCTGCTGCAAATCTGTATCTCTGGAAAACCAAACCTCCACTGAGTATTACTCCCTATTTAAAAGGGCAAAAGAAAACCAAGAGATTTAACTTTCTAACAAAGGTCTTCAATTTAAAACAGGGAGAGTATGATAACAACAGGTTCGAATCAGCCTAAAAACACCAGTTAGCCAAGAACGTACAGGCATCAGTTACAGCAGCAGGAACGATAAACCGTGTTTCACCAATGCCCCTTCCCAAGTAAAAGGACGAAGCGCAGTGCTTTCTGTCCGAGGCACGGGACTGGCTGCTACGCAACCCCCGGAGCAGCATTAAAAGCACTCTATATGTGTTACATGCTCCAAATGACAAGAGGAATGCAGGACGGTGGATCTCCGCTCCAGATTCCCCAGCATGGTTTTAGCTGCCATGAATAAAACAGGAAGCAGAGCATCTTCCAGGTTCCCCCCACGCCCCTGACTGTCTGGATGAACTGCAGTTTCCTTTCAGGAAAGAGAAAGGAAGAGGGGGAGGAGGGAAAAGAAAAAAAAAGAAAAAAAATAAAAGAGAAGCAGCCAGCTGCAATACCAGACAGATTAAAAACTTCACACTAAGGAAAAATAAAGAATAACAGGAAAAACCAGACACTGAACCTTCATCCAGTTACAGCAGCTAAACTTCTTCAGGTCCCTAACAAAACAGAGTTAAATATTAACATTTGAGAGAAATATATCCATACATTACACAGCCTCTTTAACACACACTCTTGCTTAGGAGACAGAAATCATTCTTAAGCTATATTTTACTTGCTGACCACATGCATATATACTCATTTAACTCTACAGCGCTCTGCTGCCTTGCTGCATTAACCAGTGAAATTAA